TATCAAGATTGTTGGCTGGTAGGAAACGTGGAAGTTATGTATGGAAATTTTTTAATTACCATGAAAAGCAAACACATCCACATGCTTAGTTCAGGACAAGAATAACAAAGGCGTGGGGCACAACTCTTGCTGGAAAAAATTCCAGTAACTTGGTAAATCATGTTCAAAGAATGCAAAAAAGAGACACAAAATATACATTTAAGAAAAGAAAAAACAATATGCAAAAAAATAATGTTTAAAGCGTAAAATTGATAATAATGATTCTACATTTTTTGAAATTGTTGAAAAACAAAGATCCAGATAATAGAAGAGTACTTTGAAAGCCGAATAACCAAGTGGCCGACGGAATCAAGTAAACATCGGCTGCGTCAGGACAGTGTGATTGAAATTATTGTCAATACCTATTCACTGGCATTGCTAGATTATCAATCGTTTCAAAAGATGATAAAAACGTTTGACCTAAAATTAAAATTGCCCGGTAATTAACAACTAAACTTGAATTAACAACTAAATTTAAATTCAATAATGCTTAACAAATTTTAAATGTTATAAGAGTGCATAAAAAATTACAATAGCTAAATTTTAGGGTTTATTTTAGGCCGAACTTAAATTTTATATAGAACAGTGGATTGTTTTCTTTTCTTGCACTTTCTTTCAAATCTATTCCTCTGTGTCTTTTTTTTTATTTAATTTTATTTAGGTGCCCCAAGAAGTCCTTACGATTTTATCACAGAGCACCGCGGATGAGCATTTATTCAGAAGTTCATGCCTCCTTCCAAACCGATGTCGCAAAACTTGCCCAGAGGTGGGGTTTGAACCACGGATCCTTTGTTTCTGAGGCAAGTGCGCTACCACTGCACCACGGCTGGTCTTACTTTACTTTTGCTTGATTGTTTTTACCAATACCAACCGTTATTCTTCAATGTATCAATGTAAGTCAGTCACTTTTCAAAGTAAGTTTAGTAACTAGGTATCTGAAAGAAAATCAGTAAGATCTTATCGTCAGAACCTTATACTAGTGTAAACAAAATATTATATTATAAAGTAACTATAAGTAAAACAAAATAAAAATAAAATATACATACATATATCACTTTGTAGTATATATAATAAAGTTTAATGAATATTTCCATAATATAAATATTATTGTCAAATTTTGATAATACGGAAAGAAAAAGATTTTCAGCTTAACTTTAAAAAGATGCAAAGAAGTAGGTAGATCAAAATTAAAGTTAGGCAAAACAATTTTGTTCAAAAGATGGGGTGCACGATAATCAATGCAAAATTGGTTAAAACTTGTTTGACAAAAGGGCTCATATAGAGGGTTGTTATTTCTTAGAGAGTATTTATTGGTAGGTTTCAAAGTAATTAAATCATTAAAAACGGCAGAAGAAAGATTGTTTTTACATATATATACAAAGCATAAAATATTAAAAATATTAAGTTCGTAAATATTAAGTATTCTCATTTCAGAAAAAAAGATGTTTAGAGTGAGAAAAACAATCAGCAAAATTAATTACACGTATTGCATGTTTCTGACGGCGATAGAGAGATTGTAACTTACTTTTTTCAGTGCTTGCCCAAGCAATATTTGCATAATTCATATAGCTGTGAATAAATGCATAATAAAGTTGGGATAAAACTTTTTTATTTATATAGATTCTGGCCTTATAAAGAATTTCAATATTTTTTGAAACTTTAGTACCAACATAATCAATATGTAGCTTCCATGTGATGTTCTCATCAAGGAATACACCTAAAAATTTTGTGGTGCAATCTCTTTTTATTTCAATATGGTCAATAAAAATATCATGTAGAGTTGGGGGTAAATAACGTTTTTTAGTCATCGAATGAAAAAGAATCCATTTTGTTTTTTTAATATTTAGGGTAAGTTTATTGCATTAAAACCAGCTAGAAATTTATTTGAGTTCTTCACTCATAGTAGTGAAGAGTTTATTAATATTGTTATCAGATAAAAATAAATTAGTATCACCCGCAAACATAATACTTAAAAGATTAGAAGCTTTATGCAAGTCATTAATGTATATTAAAAAAAGAAGTGGCCCTAAAATTGATCCTTGCGGAACACCAAATGAAATATCTAAAACATTTTTTTGATAAGGATCGTTAAAAGAAACGAATTGTTTTCGGTTTGTTAAATAACTTTTAAACCACTTCAAAATTACACCATCCACTCCATAATATTTAAGTTTATGAATCAAAATGCCATGATTTACTGTATCAAATGCTTTTGATAAATCCAAAAAAATACCTAAAGATCTTTTCCCTTCTGCAGAAGTAACCAAGGTTTGAAAAAATAAAGAAAATTCTTTAAGCATTTCAAACTTGTTTTTATTTATAAATTGTTTATTACTTGGTGCAAAAGTTCAATGTTTCAACTAAACCCATGTTCTAATTTTCCGCAGTCTCCCTAGAAGTCCAAAACCTTTCTGTCTTTGTATTATTTTTGAAAAAACACGTTTTAACTAAAGCCCATGAATTAATTATTTTACCCAAAAAGAACTCAAGTACGACAAACTAAATCTCTCATCCAATCCTTTAAATTTGCAAAATAAAACCTCATTGAAGTTCTACTCCAGGTTCCTCATGCAAAAGAGATTTTTGAATCTGACGCTATGAAAGAAAAAAGTTTAAATTACAATTGATGTATACTGTGAATATACCAATAGAGGAAGAGTTTTAATTGTTACATTGCAATTAATTTTCTTTAATTGCTCGAAAGCATTTTAGAGATTTTATTTGAATAAGAACATGATTAAAATAGTCGTTGATAGGACAAAAGTTTTTTCAAATTTTTCCCAAGCACTATTAAACATTAAAATAAAGAAAAATTTTAATGTTAAAAATTTCTAAAACAAGTTAAGGAACTTATTATTTTACAAACTGTTAATGTTGTAAATAAATTATTTTAAAAAATGTAAATAACTCCTAATTAAATTTTAAAAAATTAGTAAAATATGGATTTGGCTTGCTATCAAATAGCAGCTTTTAAGAAGCCGTAGACATAATATTGGCAAAAGGGTTTATGGTTTAGGTACTGCTGCACTCAAACAATGGAGAGTGGGGTATTGGAGAACAGCTTAGCGAAAATGTGAATTAAAGAAACGAGTTGAAATTGGTCATATTTAATGCTTATGGTTTAGTCTAATTATTCAGTCACAAACCCTCAAAAGCAATTTCTATAAATCTAGTTATAATATAAAAATATTGGGCAAAAATGAAACCATTTGTATTCGAAATTACTCTACGTTCGTGGAGCTAATTCTAAACAAACCGTGGCGTAATCACAAAAACTGTTGCGTAGTAACAAATAAAATGCTAGTTATAATAATTAAGTGCAAAAATAAAAAAAATCTCGGAATTCGTCAACTTTTCCCAGGCCTCACAATTGTAACACATAATCCAGTCTTTTATGGGGAGATCATGAACTTTTCATTGCAATTAATAAAACAAAAGTCTTTTAAAGTTTTAAAGTCTTTTATTTTGTAATTATTAAAATTTTTAAAAATGAAAAATTTTTAAAATTAAAAAACTTTTAAAATTAAAAATTTATTATCACAAATATCACAAACAAAACTGAACATGCTTTCACCTGGACATGCTTTCAACAATAGTGCACTTAGTACAACCAAGATTTGGATTTGTGACACATGATCCAGTGTTCTGTAGGCGTATCCTGATATTTTTCTTTGCAAGTTAAGCAACAAGTTTATTTATTATTTTTTTACATGATGTCAAACTACCTCTAATTGGTTAAATCTTAAATTGGTTAAAATCTTTCTTTTGCTCTAAAATATTTCTTTATGGCGGACTAGTAGTTTAGAGTTTTTCTTTCGAAAACGTTCTCAGTTTTTCTTTTTTTGGGCAAATTAGGTGCAGAAATAATATTTGAACAGTTTATCTGTTAAAATTTAAAGTGAAAAAAGTTAGAGACATTATTGGTCGCCTAACTTACTATGCAACGACAACAACAAAAGGAGTGGTTTTATATCTATAGTACCTACAACAGAAATGTTTCTAAAGAAAAAAATTGCATGAAATTATTAGAAAAAAATAGAATTAATTCATAGTGAACAATAATTGCAGCTTTATAACACTACCGTACGTCTGGAACTGAGCATGGGACCCCCTCTTAGCAGGTAAAAAGAAATTGTGAAATACCTTTTTCTATTATACCGTTTTGACCATGTTCGGAGTTACCTAGTGTACGCTATCACCCTACAAACTATTATTTAAACGGCTTTTAGTCGTTCTGATACTATTATTTGAAATAAATATAAATATATAGGATACAAAAACATATACGATATAAATATTTTATTTCCATAATCTCCAAGATATAAAAAGTTGCTTATTTTGAACACCAAAAAATCATACAGGTGTCTATATTCGTAGGTTTTTGCCAGATCTTTAAGTAGAAAAGCTTTTTAACAAAAAATGGCTTGCATAAATTATTCTTTCTAAAGTTAACGTACACAGAAGCGACATGGAAAGGTTTGTAAACAAACTTTTTTATTACTATTATTTAAGTAATATAGAATTCTTTTTAATACTTGTAATAGAAAAATTTAAACGTTAAAATTAAACGAAAAAGGTTTCTGCCTATATCAAATTTAACTGCACGACAATTATTTTTTAAAGTCATGATATTATATGAAAATTACAAACGCTTTATCAATCCTGAAATTGTAACTTTTATACAAATAATCACACAGATCTCTGTAGACATTTGCTGGTTTTCAAAAAGAAAAAAAAATACTTTTTAAACAAAAAATGATTTGCATAAATTATTCTTTCTTAAACAAACATACTCAGAAGCGACATATATACGTTTGTAAACAAACTTTTTTATTTTTTTATTTCTTAAGTAATATAGAATTCTTTTTAATATTTGTAATAAAATATTTTTAAACGTTAAACAAATTTAACGAAAAAGTTTTTTTCCCTAATTCAAATTTAATTTCACGGCAATTACTCTAACAAACGACGGTGTTATATGAAAATTACAAACGCTTTTTCAATCCTGAAATTGAAATTTTTAAGATTGCGTACGTAAAGATTATTAATCGGAAATGTACTGTTTGAAGCGTTTGTCTTTTTTCTAAAAAAAAAACAAAATGTTTATTTATTCGAGCAAAAGATGGAAGAAAAGAAAAAGATTATAAAAGTCGATAGCGACTTTTTGCAAAACGAAAACAAATAATACAATTGGGAACTTCTATTGTGGAACCGCGCTAACTAAGAAAGCTTGCGGCAGATGTTTCCACAAAGATCAGTATTGCAATTTCAGTTTACTCATGAGACGGTTTTATGAGATGAAATATAAGAGCACACTTTTGCTCGTTTTTAAAAAATTGTTTTATATATCAAAGTTAATCTAAAAATTGAATTATTTTCTGGATTTAATCTTTGTAGATGACTGTTTATTAACTGGTTGAATATCGAAGTTTTTTAAAAGAGAAGTTATATTAAAAAAAAAATCTTATATACGATGAACAGGTTGTCAATCGCTCCTAAATCGCCAAAACTGAAACTACCTCGGATTGAAATTGTAGAGTGTAAAGTCAAAACAAAAAATGAAAAAAAACTCGACTTAGAAATGTTCCAGCAAGCAAAAGATGCTAAAATGATTCTCGAAAAACTATTAAAAGAAGGTGCGTTATTCAAAAACAACTTCTTTTTGTGCGTTTAACTTTTTCTATTATTATTTTTATTACGCTTTGACTAATATATATATATATATATATATATATATATATATATATATATTATATATATATATATATATATATATATATATATATATATATATATATATTAGTATATATAGACTAATATATATATATATATATATATATATATATATATATATATATATATATATATATATATATACATATATATATATATATATATATATATATATATATATATATATATATATATATATATATACATATATATATATATATATATATATATATATATATATATATATATATATATATATATATATATATATATATATATATATATATATATATATATATATATATATATATATATATATATGTATCTATATATATAGGCGCGGATCAACCATTTTTTGATGTTTGAGATAACTTCATACTTATTTGAAAAAAAGAACAACAAATTGATAAAATATTTTGGACTTTTTTTAAATAAATTTATATTCATCGATAAATTCTAAATTTCATAAAATGTTTTATTACTCATGGTCTTATAAAATTTATAGCCCCCTCAAATTAAGGTGGGTTACAAACTTTTACACACACACACACACACACACACACACACATACATATATATATATATATATATATATATATATATATATATATATATATATATATATATATATATATATATATATATATATATATATATATATATATATATATACATATATATATATATATATATATATATATATATATATATATATATATATATATATATATATATATATATATATATATATCAAGACTTATATATGTTTGTGAACATTTATTTATATTATATATGTAAATAGTTTATATGTAGTGTATATATATATATATATATATATATAACTTTTTTTAAAGACAATAAATCCAATCATGAAGAATCGAGCTCAAATTCTAACGATAATGGAAGACGGAGAGCCAATTCCTTAGATATAGAAGACAACGTTGTACACATTTCTAACAAGATTGGAATTGCAGAATTAGCAAAAAAAAGAGGAAGCGTGCCAAACATTGGCAGGATTAAAAATAAAATATTTCGAAAATCTGCATCGAAAACTTTAGTATAAATTTTCACTGTTTGCCATCATTTATAATAATATACTCCGATCTAAAAAAGCTCCTTGTTTCCAATTAAATTTATCTGACAGATAATTATTTATAACAGAGAGTTATTTATTAGGGCTTAACTAATATTTCTAACAGTTTAAATCTCTGATAAAAGAATTGAATTTATTTTAGTAAGAATGCTCGGCCAATTTTTTTTACGTCTATAACATATGTAGTCTTTATAGATAAAAAAAATGAAGATTTAAAATAACAAATCTCCTCGCATTTAGCTTCTGTTAGCATTTTTAATTTTTATTATATATACAATAAAGTATAATAAATTTGCATTAACAAAAAAAAATTTTTTTAATTCTGATAAAAAAAATTAAAAGAATAAAAGATTTTGCTAACTTTTATTATTCTCATTTTATAATTTGTTAGTCATATATCCAAAACCATTATCCAACACCTTTTATTTGTCTTATCACCTGGAAATAATATTGTATTATATTTTTTAGCAGGATAAAATAAGTTTTTCCTACTTTTTATATGGTTTTCTATGTTAGTTTATAATATGTTTTATTAAAACACACACATACATAAATAAATTATTTATACGGTTTATGTTTGAATAATGATAAACAAAAAGCCAATTTACGATCATTAACTTTGAATTTTAAAATTAATTATTGATCACAACAATTTTATCTTATATAAAATATTTTTCTTACCAACCTTGTTTAAACACTTGTTGTGCATTAGCCATGTTGTACGTTTTGTAAGCTTTTTAAGTCCATCAGGTAAGATCACTGTATGGCAAGTTTAATGTGCACATCTTCGGTTAACTGTGCAGCAGTAAAAATACATCTACTGTCCACGTGTATAATTCAATTGAAGGAAAGTTCACAATGCGGTAGTATAACTTTATACCTTTAAATCTACATGTATGCGAGCTGGCGCAATTGCAACTTACATAAATACTAATCATTATAAGTTCAAAGCAGTTTGCAAAAACTTAAAAAAGTACGGACCAGAATAACTTAAAAAAGTACGGACCAGAATAACTGCGCTTACAATTTTAACTCTATATAAAACCCTCCCGACCAAAACCTAATAATAGATATATGTGCATTTTACGGTAAGTCTACCAGTTGTTTTATTCATTATGCTTTTTTATAAAAGTTGGTTGTTCTCATTTTAATAATGTTTCACACTTATGTAAATTCGTACTAATAGCAGAGTTTTTAAAATATTTTTGGCGCACTTTTTAATTGTTCTTGTTGTTGTTGTTGTTTTGTTTATTTCGCTGTTTAAAAATATATAAAATTGAAAGTATAAAAATAAAAACATTTGTGGGGCAAGAAGAAGACATTCTATTTTTATTATCACCCATTCGTACATTTTTACAAAAATCATAATTTATATACTTTAAATCCTATATATTGTAAAATATAAAAATAAAAAAAAAAAGAATTATTTATTTTACTTTTATATTTAACATTTAAAATACAAATAACAGTGTTCATACAAACAGTAATATGCAAATAAAGAAGAAAAAAATTAAAAATTAAAAATAAAAGAGTATGTATTTACAAAAACTGTAATATATATGTATAATTTACAACCTATTTATTGAAAAATATATAAATAAAATAAACAACAATTCGTTTTCGTTTCAAGAATAATATTCAGATTTCAACAATAACATTCGAGATTAAAGGTAACACCATAACTAAGTTAATAAAAAAAATGTTGAAACATTTTTTGAAATTTAATATAAATGGATTTTTGTTTAAAAGAAGCATTTGAAATCGGATATATTTAAACCCATATATAATTAGATTTGCTTAGATTCATTTTTTAACTGTATTATACTACCTGTACTATACTAGTTTTTTGTATATTGAATTGAGTATGAAATTAATTTTAAATTATTTTTAGGGACAACGAAGTTATTATCTGAAAATTTTGTCAGGTATTTATGAACTACTTTGTCAAAATAAGATTGAAACATTTTAGGAGATGTCCTATCTCTGTTTTATACATAAGTGTTAAAACTTAATGTAAGTTGTTTTTATAGACATTTAATGCACCAAGTAAACGCAGAAAAGGCTCGCAAGGTAGGGTAAAAGGTAGGTACGTAAGGTAGGGTAATAAGGGGCAAAATGAGACACTTAAGCATAAGTTTATTTAATACGGCCCATGTAATAAGTTTTGTAATATGACCAAGATTTTTTTTGAAGTATTTCAAAATCCTACTATAATAAAAAAAAGTATGAGTTGTAAAACTGCAATGGTTAGGTTTCTAGAGATCATTGATTGACAACACCTACACTGTCTCATTTTGCCAACTATATGGGGCAAAATGAGACAGATTGTCTGTAAGAGCTGATCTAAGGTAAAAAAAAAAAAAAACAGATTTTAAAAAGGATTAGAAAGATAAATCGTTTCTGTAATAAAATATATTCTACAACTTGATTGTATAAATTGAAGACACTGCTATCAGTCATTTGAACACATTGCTACCAATCATTTACACACTGCTACCAGTCATTTACACACTTCATCAGTTATTTATATCATTATAATACAGTATATTTTTATCTATAGTTTATTGCAATAACCTATGATTTAATATTAAAACTTAAAACTAAAAATAAATAAACATACTGCAGGAATAAACAAAGCAAATTTTTTTTTTAATACCAATAGATTTACAAATCTGAGCAGATTTGTATTATTTATATTACTAGACTGTTTAAAACAAAAATAGGTGCAACAAATAAACCTTTTAGATAAAATTGAAACATGTAAGGTAAATATAATAAATATAAGTAAACAATATAATAAACATTTTAATATGTTGAAAAACAACTGAGCGCAGTAAATATTACATATTTACAATAAGTAAACATATTAAAAATTGGAAAAACAAATAAAAACCACAACTTGTCGGTATCAAAGTCCTCTAACTTTCTGACAATTTTTTTAAACAAATTAATTATGGGTGTACGGAATGTATTCACCAGGTGTATGGGTGTACGTAAATTATGGAAAAAATGTTTAATGATGAAAATAACGCACAAACTTTATATACAAAGTTGAATTATTCATATTGTTTTTGGGATTCCGAAAAAATCCCGGGAAAGTACCTTAAAATAAAACACAAACCAATAAACTTTTTTTTTTTTTTAACTTTATTTCCAAACCTATTTTTGTGATTTAAAGTGACTTTTCAGAAAAACCAGTGCATTCAAATGACCGTCTGATAATCTAGTTCTAAACTTTGTAAAAAATAAACCTGTTGAACTAAACAATCTTTCAGCTTTAACAATGGATGGTCGAAAAGTTAAAAGTGCATTAAAAATGCTTATCTAAGCTATGCACAGTGAATCGCTTTATATAAGCTAGGTCGACAAAAATATTTTGTTCTACAATTTAATCCCAAAGAATGTAATTAATAATATTTTGATTAGTTTCGCATTTTTCGATTATTTTTAAGTTTTATATCTAAATATTTTTTATATTTTTATGAATTTTTTAATTTTAGTAATGAAAAAAATTAATCAGTTAATAAAAGTAAATACTTTATTTCAACACATAAATTATGTTATAAAATTATGCCAAAAATTAAAATAAAAAAATATACTATAATTCAGCTGATAACCTAAAATATTTTCTTAACAATTATCATTGGATGAAACATTGTTATTTTAACTATCCAAAGAATCGGACCCGAAATAATCTTCATCGTCATTCAGAATTGTATTTCCGACCAGCTGTAGTGGTATTACAGGTGGGACAAATAAATTCAAACTTTTAACGGTAATTTACTCGTTTTCTTACCTAGCAATTCTCTGTATGAGTTGATGACAGGATCTGATCTTACCAAAAGCATAATAAGCAAAACTATATTTGTGGAAATACGTGAGTTTTTTCTTGTATGATGATTAACAAAAATCTTTAATACGGACTTCTTGAGACTCTTCCGATAGCTATCCGATTGGAAGAAGACATATTTTTATAACTTCCGTGCTATGTACAAGTATTTTGTGCACAGTAACAGGCATACCACGGGTATAGATTAAGATAAAGAGTTTTGGTTTCAGTACAAAGTTTTTAAAATTCATAATAAATAATATCATAACCTGAGGAAAGTGTTTTTATTAAAATACTGAAAATTTTAATTAAATTGACGTCTTAACCCGTAATCTTACCACTTAACTCTAGCTTCATAAAAAACCTGCGAGCTTTGTTCCCATCATTTGTATTCACAAAGCTAGGATTTGGTTTGTCTACAATAAGAACCATATTTTTTTAATATTTTTGTTTGATATCTTCTGTAGATTTTTGGACATTAGATTTATCTTCATCGCTTCTACCTTGCCACTTTTTTATATCTAAATAATTGCTAATGTGTAACATGCACTCAATAAAGCGAATCCACGCATGCAAAGTAGACAGACCAAAACCATAATGCTCTTTTTAACAACTAAGTCTTTTATTTCACAGTTCACCATTTTTGGAGTTGCACCACATATATAAAATTTTTGTTGGGAACTTGTATCAGTTAAGGCTTTGCAAACTTTTCCATCTATCATTGAGAGTATTAGGTTATGTTTAACAGCAATTCGAGATTTGCCGAATCTTGTAGATGTTGGAATAAGATACTTCTTTAAAACTTGGTTAGCCTTTTGTTACAGTTAATAGATTTGTTTTTTTTTGAAAAAATAAACTTAATTGGTCGGTGAAAAAGTGTGGATGAAGGTCACGGATTTTGCTAAATAATATTTTGGCCGTCACTCAGTCTCAACGGAACAAATGAAAATACAAACAGAAATTCATCAGTAGCATCAGAGTTTGTAAACCTCTGTTTTTAAGTGCTGTGACCAGAGGTCACATCACATCCCCATTTGCTAATTAATGTGAATGGCGCA